TGAGGACATACATTAAAAACTTGTATATTATAATTTTTTATCAAAAATAATAAAATATTATAGAATTTAATATATATATATATATATATATATTAATAATATTTAATGCTATAATTTTTAATAATTATTTTGATTTCTTAATATTTAACACCCATTAAAAAGTCGTTTAATAAAATATCAAACTCATCTGCATGAGAGAAGAGTACATCTCTAGCTTGGGTCCTATACATGAGGTAAAAATTTTAGAACAGACATAGTGAAAAACAGAATACAGTGAGTGACGCCGTTGAAGCGAATAGCAGTTCAATAGCAGTACCATTAATTAGATAGGCCCTTTTTAAATCTAGGCCCACTAATTAGATAGGCCCATTAATTTATCAGTTACAATTAAGTAGTTTGGCTTAGGCATCAAAATAAGCGGATATAATTTTTTAAAAATATTATAGAAATGATCTATAAATAACTAGTAGACTTTAATTTTTTCAAAAGAATATAAACTCTTTTAAAAATTTAATTCTATAAATCATAATAAAAAGAGTGGGACCACGGCCCATTTTACATCATTTTTGCATGAAGCTATTCTTCGGCCCACTTCTTATTTTTGTGATACATTTTACTAGATCTGGTAACCAAATTACAAAGGCCCAAAAAGGTAAACAAAATTGTGTCTCGTATCGTATAGAGCAAATAATGAGAACTAGCAGATTATCTACAAAATATCAGGATTTGAATTTTAATCCTCTTTTTCCTACACCGAAATATACACACACACACACACGCAAGTAGCATACCCTTTGACCAAATCTCCGTCCAAATAATATTTAACTCTTTTAAAAGTTTGTTTTAATATTTTATTTTTTACTTTATATAAACAATATAATAATATTTGATTCTAATACATTAATGTTGAGACTCGAATTTTATATTTACGCCTTTTGTACTTATTTTATTTTTTCACTACATTTTTTAATGTGATTTTAATTAATGCTTTACATTAGTTTATAAAAAACTGTGAAAATTGTATTTTAATTTTTTTTTTCATGTATTCAGTTAACTAAACTGCAAGTAATTGAGAAGGGTATGAGAATTTAGGTACCCAATAAATATAAAATTCAAAATTATTATTCAACAAATAAGGAAATAAGTACAAATAATTTTAAAAAGATAAATATAAAAATTGAGTCCTATACTATAATAATCTACCCAAACCTATTCCAACATGTGTTTCTTACCTTGTTGTGATCATGGTAGAGATTACTTTATTAGACTATCTATCTCGATATTTTAAATGTATAAAAGCACTTTTAAGAGTTAATTTTTTAATTAAATGTTTTAAGTTTTAAATATTGATAATATGTTCTTTAATTTTAAATAGTCTATCTCAATAGTTTATTCCTACTTGATATAATTAAATATTTTATCTTGTATGAAATTTAAAAATAATTATATACATATATTTTTTTAATATCAATACAATACAAAAAAAAAAAATCCCTCTTTAATTATTTTGTATTCTTGAATGATATTTAATATGTTCCATAGATTTCCGGTGGAGATTTTTCTAATTCAGAATTTGTATCCAATAGTCGATGATCAAACAAGATATTCAATTTTGATCCTTTTATTTGAAGTGAAGATAAGATTAGTTTAAAATTATAATTATTTAAAAGAAAATTCTAATAAGTTTTAAAAGTACTGATTAAAAATTCAAAAATTAAATTTATTATTGAAGAATGCAAAAGACGTTTATTTAATATATTTTAACACAAATTTAAATGAAAAAAATATTATTTACTAATTTTTTATTGATCCTTTTATTATTTTAAAATAATTTTTAAGAGCTCCAATTATTTAACGTTACATCATAAGAATTGTTTGGATGTAAAAATTAAAAATTGTAAAAAAATTTATAAAAATTCTAAAGGTAAAGTTGATAATACTTGATTACTTTATTAAAAAAATTAAAATTTAAAAGAATTAACTACTCAAACCAAAAAAATATTTAAAATATAATTTAAATTTCTTAAAATTTAAAATTTAAAAAAATTTAATTCCTCCGTAGAAACACAATTTTAGTTTTAATACATTTAATAAACCAAATATTAGGACATCAACTTAATACTGTTTAAAAAAAATGATAATACTTAATAATGCATTATTATATAATTTTATTGGCAACATTACGTTTAAAATATATAAATAAACTTTTTTATTAAAAATTATGAAATTTTAATGTAATATTGATATCTTATCTTATTATTATTGTAATCAAACTCATTAATTAATATAATTCTTCTTGTTTATACTCAGTTATATATATTTTTTAAGATTAAAAATATCTAAGAATAATGTGTGAATTATATTTTTTGGTGTAATTATTTTTTTTGTCTAATTATTTTGTTAAGTTCGTTGTAAAGTTTAAAGATAAAATTTATTACTTACCTTCCTTAGATTACCTTATTTAAAATTAATATTTTCATATTTTTTAAATTTGTGTATTCACATTTATAAAATTTATCTTATTATCTTTTATAATTTTAAATTTTTTTATAAATATTTTTATGCAAAAAATACATAATATTTAATATATTATTTCTATTATTTAAAATAAGTTATATTATAAAATTATTATAATTTCATTAAATATTTATCATTTTGATATATATTATTGGTGGTTATAGAATTAAATTAAAATAAATATTTTTAAAATATTAACATTGCAAATAATTTTATTATTTATTAAATATATATTTATTTTGAAATTAAATGCTTGTACATGTACTGCTAATTAGTAATAGTTGAAATTTAACTTGTACTCAAATATACTTAATACTTTTTTTAATAAGTAAAATGAATACTATAAAGCAATGAGTATTTAGAAACATTCAAATAAAATAATTAATTTATGAATTGATATATCTTCTGGTTATTCAACATATTTAGCATCACTTTATTATTAATTTTCCATTAGAAATGATAAAACAGGTTAACTTCAACCCGCCCTATTTTTAAGAAAGGTTTAAAATATCAACTCACTAGGTTTTGTTGGCGGGTTAGTAAATTAACAATTTTAATTTGTTTACACGGTTGAATTATGATTAAGGTATCAAATAATTTTAGATTTATCTAAACTTTTGCATAGATGACTCGTGTGATTAAAATTTTGAATCTAACAATCAATTACATATATATATATATATATATATATATATATATATATATATATATATTCAACTTATATAGATAATTTGTTTCATTAATATTAAAAATTTTCAAGCTACTCGAGTCAACCTAACATGTTGAACTCGTATTGCCAACCCTATTTTTCATGTGCCATGCATTATTACGAGTTAAAATTTACATGTGATTCTTTTTATTCAGGAGTTGTAATAATTAGATCAATCATGTTTACTTCAAAAAATATTTTTAAATATAAAATTTATTCTTATCTTTTTTCGTTAAAAGGATTAATAAAAAATATATTTTTAAATTTATCTAATAATTAGTAATAGTGATATATATATATATATATATATATATATATATAATTTTATTAATAACAAATTATTCAACTATAAAATGAAATTTTCTATCCATTGAACCAAGATATATGTAAGAGTGAAGATTAAAATCTGTTGGGCTAAATTATTTAAAAAACATTTCTCCTTCCTTTCATTCTAAAAATTGTATTACTTTAGTAATCATGAAAAAGATGTATTTTTTTAAAATATTAAGAATTTATAAAATATTTTTATATTTTAACATTTTAGTATTATTAGGATAACTATTTTTATAGACACTATAAAGTAGTAATACTTTACTTATGCTTAATTAAAATCTCAATATCTAATTGAGCAAGTCATTTTTTTAAAGTTGTTTAAGAATTTTGGTAGTTACTCTTTTTTATTTTTGTTTTTTTTTTCCTTCCATGTTCAATTTGACCCAACAAAGATGAAAAGAAAGAGGTGTAAAATGAGTGTAAATATTTAATTTAAAATTTTATTATTGATATTTTAATATCTTATCAAAGTATTTGTATAAGTAAATTCTATGGTACTTTCTAAAATTAGGGGTATTCTATGCTCTCGTTTATATAATAGAGTTAGTGGTTTATTTGAAAAGACATAAATACTCTTTAATTTTGAAGATATTAAAGAAATCATACTCCTTAATTTAGGAAGAGTATACAATGGCCCCATGGTTGAATCAAATTCATGATTAACGAATTCATAAGTTCAATTTCTACTGATGTTCTCCAATGAAATGTGCCTCTAATCCAAAAAGTCTATTAGATTTTTGTTCAAAAATAAAATTTTATTAGAACTGTTTAATAAAAATGAAATTTTATTGAACTGTCCAATTCATCTTTTAGAAGAATCGTATCACATATCAGATTCAATGAAATAGGCTGGATCGAGACAGTAATTTATAAGTACATAATTATCTTAAATATATTAACTATTTTTTTATTTTTCATCACTTAAAAAGAAAAAATAATTTCAAAAATACTGTGACAAGCACCATTTATATAAAGGAAGGAGAGAGAAAATAAGAATATTAAATATATATTTATTAAAATTATTATTTGATTTCTGTTATAATTTTTTATTTTTTTTATTAATTACTTATCTTTATGTTAAGATAAGCATGTAATTTATTGAACATAATTAATGTTGTTTGAAACTTTTAAAAGTGATGGATATATATATATATATAATATGTGACGACAAATTAAAAGAAATAGGTAACAGAAATAGTGAAAAATAAAATCATGATTGTTATCATAATCTTCGAAAACAAGTCGATCTTTTTATTCCAAACATCCCTTTTCCTTCCCACAGCCCTCAATAACATTAAAATCACATCAAAAGTAGCTTCGTCGTGTGCCTAATTCCAATAGGAATTAGACAAAGCACAAGACAGAAATTAAGAACCAAGAAAGTCTGGGTTATCTAACTTAGTAGTAACAGCCACTGTTAAATGTTGGTCATGTAACTTTGTCAAGTGTAACCTTGCTTGTATTTGCGAAAGATCTCCTCAGTTTTGGCATTCCTAAAGGCATAGCACCCTATCAAATACACAACAATTAAAGCAACCAAAGTAATGATCAAAATGACATTGGCTCTCCTCCACTCCACCCTAAGTGTTGCCAACAAACCAGCCTTGCATGAGTCACAGTTATAGCAAAGTTGTGTTTGGTCATTGCTCCATCGCATGCAGTCCACATCCTCTGCCATGTTGATGGGGCTGATCCAGTAGGTTGGGTTCACAAACGTGTAACCACATTTGGTTGGTGGCTTGCAGCACCCTGACTGCATCAGATCAATGTACAAAAGGAATATAAAACCAAAGGAATAAAGGCGAAAATATGAATAACATGCTCGGAGGCAAGAAATGAAAGGGTCACACGTGGTTGAAGAATCTAAGTTAATTAACTCTTTAAACTTTTGTTGTTGGCTTTGTTTAAGTTATTCCATTAGCTAGTAGGAGGATTACATAAGGTTTAAATATTGGATTAAAAATTGTATCAATTCTTTATAGATAAATTTTAACTACCCTAATTTAGATAAAATTTCATAAAAGCCTTTATAGGAGGAAAAATTCAATATAAAAAGTGAATAAAACTTTTTTTGTAAATTATAAAATATTTATCTTCTTAAATTTTAGAAAAGTTAAATAAAAGAATTTTAAAAAAATAAAGAAGCATAAATTATTTTTAATTTATACAAAAAAATTTACTCATTTTTTATATTGATTTTTCTCCTATAATTTTTTTAAAAGTTTACCCATTTAATAAATCTTTTGTTCTCTAAATCTTGTTTTTAATGAAAACAGCAGAGTTTTGAATGAATGGTTAGAAAAAGGATATATAATTTTAAAAAAATATATATTTATTTATCTTTTTATTTTATTAAGCAAGAAAATTTATAAAAAAAAAGTTGCAAGAGAGCTTAACAAACAAAGATGAGTTTAAAGAGAATGTATAATCTTTATCAGCTACGAAAGAAAACAATTGGAAACTTCAAAATTAATCTTAAGATACATGCTTTCTTGAGAAGTTGAAATAGGTGTATGAAAAAAAATTTATAATGACAAGTTTGGGATGTTTATGGAAGTAATCAGTTGATATTTTTATAACAGGATTTTGTTCTGGTTACCCCAAATAAAATAGCGATAACTAACCATCTATTTAACTCATATAAACCGTAATTAAGGTCGCTACTTTACTGTTTGCAAGGTCTTTGATTCAATATATTCTAACCATAAGTGTGGTCACACAATTCAAATTTGTCCAAAATTTTCAGTAATCGTTCAAATATGATTGCAATCGTAACTGCAACTGTAATTAAAACCTTGCGGATGATATATTGTATCACTTATAGACTAAGCTGAAGCAGTCAAAAGCAAGGTTAATATAATTATTATGGTATTTGGAGGGAAAACAAAACGAGTTGGGTTTAATTACCTGAATGGGTTTTAGGTGTGCATTAAAGAAATCCTGAGCCATTCGGTAATTTTGATTCAACTCAGAACACATAGTTGTTGAGCTAAGACAGCTTCTAATGTGATCCCACTTGTTGGAGCTTCTAACTTTTCGACGAAGCCAAATTGAGAAGTCATCGATGCGATATTCCAAGTATGATCTATTGGGTTCAATGTTCCCATGACCTCTAAGTGTGACAACGTAGGTGAAAATCACCAAGCTAGCCAGCAACACAATAAGCACTAGCATGGCAATAAGGTAGAATATGAGAAGCGAGGGGATTCTCCAAAAGGCCCCAATGAACCCTGCTAAAGCCACCACAAAGATTAAGACCCCTAAGATTATTACAGGCCATTGTAGAATTTTGACACAGGAATCGGCTGGTTCTGTTGTTAGCCAGATCCCAGCACCAATGATTGGGATTGAGAGGAGCACAGCAACGAAGTTTATGCCTCCTATCACATTGTTGCTTAGTGCCATTTGGGTAGGATTTAATTAAGAATGTGGCTTGGGTTAGAGGAATGTTTATTGGTTTTGTTTGTTCTTGAAAATTAATGATTTGTGATTAATGAAATGGAGTGAGGGTTGGACAATAGAGAAAGAGAGGTGTTTGAGATTTTAGATACTAATGTAGAGGAGTCATGTTTACTGACCCCACATGAATTTGTTCCTTACCTTGGATGACTGAAAGCTTGTAATTAAAATTCAGCTTTTGATATTCTGGTCACACTACCTTTAGAAAAGGAATAGCTTGTATTGTAGTACAAAGGGAGAGAGAGTGTAAGGGAAGTGGAAAAATCCGAAGAAAGAATCCACGTGTTCTGATGATCTTGGCATCTAAGCTAACATATTTCACATTTCTGCTGAAGAGGGGCGGAGCCAGAGCTGTTTGAACTATATTCTCTTATGGAACTTATATTTTATTTCATACATGCTATTTTGTTATTTACACAGTTATATTATTTTAAAAGATGTAAATTTACAATAATACTTTGTAATAATTTAAAAGATATATAAATATGTTTCAAAGTACATATTTAACTTGAAGAAAAAAAGTTTGATGAATTAAATATATATATATATATATATATATATTCTTTCATATTTAATATATTAATTTTTTTTTATGTATAAGTGAATTGATTTGGATTAATTTTACTTTTTAAATTTTGATTAGGTCATAATTTAATTATTTTAACATAATGGATATTCTCTTATTGTTTTATATTTGAGTTATAAATTGAATTATAGACCTCGTTTTAGTGTCATTCTTATTTTGTAGAAAAGTTAAGATATGAGCCTATAACTCTTATGAAAAAATAAGAAGCTGAACCTTAACGTTTAGAGTTAGAATTGGGATTAAACTTAAAAAGAAAGGAGGCAAACATAGATCCTGATCAGCGTCTATTGTTTGGCTCATATCTTAGTTCACAAATATCCAATTAGAGATATTCTAGTGGCACTAAAAGCTAACATCTAAACCTTTAATTCATATTTAGATTGTGAAGTCAAATAAACCCAAATTCAAAATAAAGGAGCAAGTTTCAAATTTTTTCTTGTAGATTAGGTGACTACTATTTAAGATATCTTTCCTAAAGGAGCAAGTTACCACACTTGACCACACGTGTGGTAAGACCAAGAGAATGATTTGAACTATGTTGAGACATGAACTAAAGAATCTGAACTCATGGGAGACATGTTGGATAATTTGAGACTTACCAAATTGGAGAAAAGGATCCTTTTATAATTAATATAAAATCTAAGGACTAAATTGTAAATATTATAAAATATGGGAAATTTTGCAAAAATTTTGTAACATCCTAAATTTCTTATTCATAATAGATAAAAGTTTATTGTTTAAGAATTGAAGAAAATCAAATTTTAAGTTTCTATAATCCGAATTTATGAAGATACAGAGATATTCCAAAACTTTTAAGATAAATAATTTAAATTTTTTTTTATAAAAAGCACAAACTAAATTTTTTTTATCTTAACAATTTATTTAATTCCATGATGCATACATATAAATTTGAGATATAAATAACTCTACCATTTAGTAAGATAATTTTTTTAATCTAAAATAGAATGTAAACTATAATTAAAGTAACTAACTATCAATATTACAAATACTTTGAATTACTTATTACACAAAATTTAACTAAGTATCACAAATTCAAAACAAATTGACCTTAAAAATATTTACATACTCTTGTCAATAAAAAAAATTAAACTTAATAAAAAATTATTATAGTCCTTGAATTAATCTAAACATTATTAGAATAACTTTTCCTTGCAATCTAATTGAGAATAAAATTCTAGTTCGAATAAACCTTCCTTTATTCTTCAATTTTATTTCCTAGAAAATAATTAGTAAGGGTGAGTATTCTTACCCCACCAAATCCTTTATTTTATAAATAAATCATGTAACACAGAATTATTATCTAATACAATATGCACTAAGATAATGCTAACTCATATATTGTATTAACAAATTTTACAGCAGATCAAACATGATAAGAATCATATAATCAGTACTTTCAAACATTTATTAGACTCATATCATTTCATATATTTTATGTCGAGTAGTATGTCATAATACGTGCATTATTGATGAATGTAAATTTTACTAGGTTTTTAAGTAGTTTCTAGGTTGTTTTTTTATAGCAAAATATAATTTGGAAAGTAAAAACTGCATAAAAATATATCGATGTTTAATAAAGTTAATATTTGTCTTTAGTAACACAAATTGTGTGAATTTAATAGAGTTCTGATGTAATTGTGTTGATTGAACTAGTTTTACTGGAGATTCCAAGCTAAGAGTCTTAAGAATAAGGATTAAGAAGAGAAAATAGAAAAAAGTGACAACTCTAGAGTGAATTTAGCAAAATGGAGTGAAAATGTTCACTTTAAGTGTTCAAAGTGAATACTCCAAAGGTGTAAATTCAAGTGAAGTCTGCATGTAAACACTTTAAGTGTTCAAAGTGAACACTTCAGAGGTGTAAATTCAAAAGAAGCTTACACGTTAACACTTTGAACACTCAAAGTAAACATTTCATCTGTGTGTAAACACTATGAACACTCAAAGTGAACACTTTAAAGACAGAATTCAGGAAAGGAGTTAGGCATGTTAACTTTATGCATTTGAAGTGTAAACACACATGCCAAAATGCGAAAAAAACAACATAAAGTGTTCACTCTAAGCATTCATAGTGATCACTTCAGCCTATGAATGTCCCAGAAGACCTTCTACGTGTTCACTTTAAGTGTTCAAAGTGAACACGTAAAAAAGGCGAGAAAATTATAAAAAGCTAGAAACTTATATCTTTTGTATTCTTTTCTTATTTTTTCATTTCTACACCTTAGGAGAGTTAGAGAGGGAGATTGGGAATGACTTCCAAGGTTTAGACCTTGAGAAATTAGGCTGGAGATTGGATTTATGAAGAAATTCTATAGCTCCTCTTCTTCTATTCTTTCTTTCTCTTTCTTTTAAGAACATGTTCTGATTTCTTTTTGTTAAGGATTGATGGATCTGATTTTGATATTGTAAATTGATTGTGGATCTAAATTTTAAAATCATGATTATATTGAACATTTAATTCTATCTTTAATGCAATTCTTGGATTAGTTATTTAATTGAATTGAACCTAAAGGATTTTCATCAATGGAAGTTGAGTTAATTTCTCAAATCAAAATTGAATGTCAAGATTATGGATATCTTAGGGATAAGAATTTGTGATCTTGTGATCTCTTAATTTCGAATGCCTAATGCAATGTTTGATTGATATACTTAAAGAATTAGGATAGTTAATTGAATATTAGGATCAATGAGTCAAGGAATTGAACTTTGATTAATCGAGTGAAATTGGTCACGAATCAATTAAGAAACTTAGAGTTCAGATCTCATTCAGTTTTGCAATTGATAAAGAGGTGAAATCATTCCTAATTTCATTTACATATCATTTCATTACCAAATTCATCACTTTGTTTTTTTTGTGATTTTCTGATTTCTACACTTTATTGCTTTTGTATGCAAATGCTCAAAATACTCTAAATTTCATTTAGCTCAACTAGTTATTAATTTGTGAAGTGGTAATTGATAGAACTAATTCTTGAGGACAACGATACTTGGGACTCAAATTAAATTCTATTTATCCTTTATTCATCATAATTAGTTTCTCACTTAATCAATACAATCATTCAATATCTAGGCTCATGCCACTTTGTTCATTTTAATTTTTGAATCATTCACCAACTAAGAGTACTCTAGATACTCACGAGCTTCTAAATCGCCGCCAACATACTCTTCTTAGTTATGATGGACTTACGCTAGCATAGATATTTGTTATCAGCAACCACACACGGATATAACATGTGTTTTATTAGGTATTTATAGCAAAAGTATAGTCAGGAGTTTAGGTCATGAAATGAATGTGAGGCCTATGAATGTTTTTGCTATCAATCATGTATACATAAGCTATTAGCACACCAATCGCCTCTGGACTCTATACCCTAGTGTATCTCTAAACTATCTGGACAGAAACTCAATAGTGGTACACCAAAATCATGTTGCTTGCATCAATCAATATTGTTCTAATACAGGTGTTACAATCACACTAATCAATGTACTACAACATGTGTTATAATTTCACCTGTCAATGTATTACAACACACATTATAATTGTACCAATCGGTGTTTTTGTGACAAATATATTAGTTACTCCTTTTTTCCTTTTCTTACACTTTCTCAACATTTTTCACATGCCACACCTTTTATCAGCATTTCTTTATTCATCAATTTCCACTAATAACATTTTCTTTCATTTTTTTTTACTTTACACTTTCTCAGCAATTCACATCAATCTTATTAATCACTTTCACTATCAATCAAGTTTCCTTCGTCTTTTTTACCTTATTCATTTCATTGACTCATGTTCAAAGTACATGCATTCAGACTTAATTCAATTTACGCATATCAGATAAATATCTTTTATCATTCAAAACAATTAAACAATTTGCATCAATCTCATATAACAATCAAATTTCTCATGCATACCATTTACATCAGGCATCTATTCATCGAATCTTTCACTATTAATACATGTTATCATTCTAGATCAATCAATCATGCATCATCCACTTTACATAACTGTCAAAGATTTCATTCATGCACATATTGATGAAACAATGAAGCACCTCATCATACAACTCAATACAATGAGCCGAAGGTCGGATACATCCGAATTCAGACCAGTCATGCATTTCATAATTAATTTGTCAGAGATTGCATTCTCTCGATCTTGATAAAAATAATCTATTCTGAGGTTTAATCTTTTTCCTAGCACACTTATTATTCTCAATAATAATTCAAACTCCAAAATTGTTCATGCATAATAATTACTACTAAAGTAGTAGAACTCAAAAATTGATTTTTTCTTTATGATTCTTGCTATGAAACTTTATTCAAGTAGTAATAAAAATAC